GGATACAACGTTCAAGACGGAGGAACTGGAGGCCAAGCCAGACGCAGGCCCCGACGTGAGGTGGCCGGCATCCTGGCTTATGGTTGATGTGCCCACCACCGTGGCAGCAGTTCCTCCCACACTCTGTGGTACCAGGGGTGCCTGTTCAAAATACATGATGCCAGATTTAGACCTTTTTATGATGTTGGGGACGGTTCGGTGAGATGAAGTATTAACTGAGCCCAAATCTACCAGGTTGGCATGATTTGAAAGCTGGGAGGGTGTGAAGTTAATCAGTGTCATATTAGAAACCACATCGGAGGGGGCAATGTTTGAAGGGGTACTAGAGGGTGCAAGTTTTTTATTCTTTCGGGTCTGCAGACGAGATATGGGTCTTTTCTTGAGTCCAGAGGATGGAGTGGCTACTGTGGTACTGAGGTCTGTCCTCTGGCTGGCTTCTGAAACCAAAAGTTGGGGATCTGGAGGAGGCTGAACCCCAATGAGGAGGCCTGAAGGAGAACTGCTGATGCTGGGTGGGAAACTACTTTGAGTAGCTGCAGGGAAGGAATGTAAGTGCTGGTGATGAGGCATGGGGAACAATCCTTTGCTAGGAGGAGGGAACAGAGATTGAGAAGTTGACAAGCTTGGATTTAGTCCTGTGGTTAGGGTGAGACCACTTCCCATGGGCCCCAGTACTGAAGTATTTGTCTCCATCACACTGGGTGTAGAGCTAACAGAAGAGGTCAACTGAATCTTTTGGGTCACTCCATTTGGAAGAGTTTGGAGAGCATAAAGTGGTTGCATGTTCTGGTTAACAACAATGAGTTTCTCAGTGGCTGGTTTCAGGTGGGGTGGAGTGGTCTGGACAGCTGCATTAGAAATCTGAGATGGGCCAGGACTATCAGTAGAATTGGGCACATACTTCTGGTTCTGGATGGGAACAGTAGGGGAAACAGGTACCTGTAGGCCAGGGGTGCTACTGTTTCTAGTTAAATCCTGATTGTTGCCATGACCTTGCTCCACAGAACCGCAAGGGGGGCTGGAGATGTGGTCTGCATCCATGTGTCCTTGGATAAAGTGATCAGGAGTCATGTGGCCTTCGGGAGTAGGCTCCACCCCTGGGCTCAGCAGTGCCGGCTCACCTTCAGAGGAGGCTACGGACTTTTCTGTGATGGTCACTCTCTTCTCCCCTGAGTCTGACATTACCGCTAGCCTGCTGGGATTCTGGCTAGGGACAGTGGGACTCCGGGTGGTCAGGACAGAGAGGTCAGATGGTAACTCCAAAGGCAACTCAAACTGCTCCTCCGCCGAGATGGAGGAGGAGACACTACTGTCCACGGGTTCCGTCGTTGGCAGCTGCTGGGAAAAGACTTCAAAAAGACCCATGTCCTTTTCGCGATTACTGTCGAGGCCCAGCCCTTCGCTAAGATTCAGGAGTTCTGACGAAGACAACTCTGGGCTCTCCCCCAGAGCCTGCATGGACGGAGTGTTCTTTAGCACAAAGTCCATGATGTCTGAAGGCAGGATGTTGCCACAGTCGTCGCTATTGTTATTGTCCGAGTCGGACTTGAGCAGCTCAGTATTATAGGTGTCCAGTAAATTTTTGTCTGATGGGGTGCTTGTGTGGACTCTGCGGCTTGACTCCAGTGAGCTGAGCTGGGCTTCCAAGGAATCCTGGCCCTGGGTTTTAACTCGACTGACTGAGTGGCAGTTATCCATCTTGGGCTCATTTTTGTGGCCAACGGAACCCTTGATGACATGTTCTTTTTCTCCAGCATCTTCAGGTTGGTCAATCTTTTAAGTTCTCGGTTCCATTTTCTTTCCCGCTTCTTTTCGGAATCTGGCTGCTTTTCCTTGTTGTGGCTGTAACACTAGTATCACTCTCTGTCCCGTCATCAACACCATCCAACTGTGAAATCTTTGGAAGATCGCGCTGCTCCTCCTCTCGGAATAAATTATGGGACGCCAGCCGCTCCTCTCCACCGGATGAAATCACCGTCCTGGTGAAGTTGTAATAGTATAAGTCGTCCTCATCTGAAGTGCTTAGGTCATCGGCCCCGTCCACCTGTCCTTCGGCTGATCTCTTGCCTCGTTTCTTCCCCACCGAGCTGCTGTAGAACGGAATGTCTTCCTCGCCATAGGATCTTACTCCATAGAGTGGAGTGAGCCCAAAGAACATGTTAGATCGGGCGCGGGCACTGCGGCTGGGGTACCTCCTCTTGAAGGAGCCATCCTCCTGAGGCTTGGGACCGTCTGGAAGCATGAGGTTTCTGTCCTGTACCGGAAGATTCTGATAGTTGTTACTCTGAGAATCCTGAGATAAGGTATTGTTGGGGCTTGGCTGGGCCACTGGGCCATCTCCTGGACTTTCAGAGGCTGCAAGTGGCTCTGTGGGAGATGCTGACTCTCTTTGCAAAGGGGAAGCAGGACTACCGTCTTTCAAGGTGTTTTTGGACTGATTCTCACTTTCCATTTTCAGAGGTGTCAGTGTTACTTTGTGCGTTTCCGGGGTGCCTGTAACTCTTTGGCAGGTCCTTCTACTTGCATGGATGAAGCTTTGGGAACTCCTGGGATAGAAAGGACTTTCTCTCCAATTTTCTCGGCAGAAACATTGTTACATGGCCGAGGCCCCATAAACTCAGGAGTCAAAACCTCATCAGCAAACTCTGGCTTTAGATTTCCTTCCTCATCAGTTGTCACCTGACCAGGTTCCAAAAACGACTTACTGGAGTGCTTTTCTTTGAAAGTTTCTTTGCAAGATTTTTTCCCTTTCTGTCTCCTGTCTCTGGAACTGGACCCCACATGTTCACTGGAAACAGATGATCTGTTGCCCATTCCAGAAAGCTTCAAGGTTTTGACATCATTACTGTCATCTGGGGAGGGGTTTGCTGACTGAGTAGAATCTGTGTGTTGGTCTCTATCATTCCTTTGCCCTCTTGAATGTAGCTGTGAGAAGGAGAGGGCCTCTTTAGAAGAAAACAGCACTGGAGAGGGTTTGGCAAAAGTGCTGACTTTGTTAACATTCAGTTCTCCAGATACGGTGTTATGAACCTGCGGGGCCAGTTTAGGAATCCCTGGGTAAGCCATGTTGTGTGCACATCCCTCTGAATTCTTGGAACTCAGCACTTTGGTCTTCTCTCCTTTTAAAGAGGAGCTCTTGGACGTCACGTCTGAAGCACTGGGATGCTTCACTTCTAACGGTGAAGCTCCATCCAAGGGACTGGTTTTAGTACCCACAGTAACCACTGTCCTTTGCAAATTTGAAGAGGGCGTGTTTGGCCCCAAATTAGTGCTTGAGTTCAGTGACCCTAAGACATGGTCAGCTGCCTTGGCACTGGACCCGAGGTCTGCAGCGGTCCCTGTGCTGGAGACCGAGGAAGCACTATTCCTGGAGTAAGTGTTCCCGGCTCGCATGGGAGACATGATGCGGAGTTTGGATCGCTGGGGTGACAAGGAGGAAGTACTGTGACGCCTGGAGCCAATGCTTCGAAGTCCAGAGGAGAGTAAAGGATCACCCACCGTGACGATTTCATGAGTTGTTGGGGTAGGACTTCCTGAACGAGAGAGAACAGAATCAAGTCTATCGCAGAGGAAACAAATGCGTGGAAGTCATTGGTTTCAATGTCTTAACTGCAGATATTTACAGATAACTGAAAATCTATGCTTTCAAGTTAGCAAGAGATAAAGTTGACTGAAAGAATTACATATTAACCTTGAGGCTGCCTTTCTTGGGTCAAGTAGGTGAATGACGTCCTTTACCTGCAGAAGGCAACGGCCGGCAGCCGGGGGATCTCTGTGTTGGAGAGTAACTGGGTGCTCGAATCCTGGGGACTTTGGAGATTACATGATAGTAACAGGAGCCAGAGGCTTGCGAGTGTGCAGGTCGGTCTGGTGACGGAGGACTTATATTTTCCACTGTGTTTTGACTCTCTTTAGATGAACTTTCTGTGGTAGGGAATAAAAACTCTTCACCAAAAAAGTCCAATTAAAATCAAACCAAAGAACCAATAACAAGCCAGCTATTAGGTAAATGCCAAACTAGACTCAAAACCTTTCAAGTAAATGACTTCTCTCCCATCTTTCAATCCAGTGTCCTTCCAAAGATTGAGTTCCGGTCCCACCCTAGTGCAGACTAACCTGTAGACGACGCGGGGCTGTGGGCTATGGTCCTGTTTTCATCGTGCTCAACAGTGCTGTTGATGTCTGGTTCCACGAGCGGGGGGCGGCACTCCACTATCTTGCACGTGTACACACAGCGCTTGCGGGCGTCCGTGGTGCTCCAGTACACCCTGGAACACCTGCACACAGATCGGACAACATCACTACAAGTGAGAGGACACAGAAACTAAAGTTCACCAAAATCTGGTCTCATCCTGGGTTCCCTGGTCTCCTTGATTTAGAGAATGTGCTCCAACCTTTCTGAAGTCCTTGGTGTTTCCTAGCCTTTAAAAAAAATCCTGCATCATATGCAAACAGAGTAAAATGCAAAAAATAGCAAACTATCCTAAAACCTAGAGAAAAAAAGATACTAACTGCTACAAGAAATTGGCCTTCAGAAAGGGACTACCATGTACAAAATGAGGCCCTAACATAAAGGAAAGGGCAAACCTGCGCTGTTTCCTTTGGGAGGAAAGCCCCAGGAGACAAGGGAAGTGTAACTGCTTCGACTCTGCCAAATGCTGTGGAACCCATGGCGTGCAAAGGGCGACTGGTTAAATGCGCAGCACAGACTGCCACATCAAAGATGGCGTGCAGAAATACTCAGGGTATATACTGCAAAGAGGGAGAGGGAGGAGAATTTTTACTTTTATTGTCAGCTTTTTAGATTTTTTTTTAAAAAAGGATTTACTTTTATTTGAAAGGCAGTTACAGAGAGAGAAGGAGAGAAGGAGAGAAAGAGAGAGAGAGAGAGAGAGAGGTCTTCTATTTGCCGGTTCACTCCCCAGATAGCCACAACGACCAGGGCAATGCCAGGCCAAAGCCAGGAATCTAGAGCTTCTTCCAGGTCTCCCATGTGCATGCAGGGGCCCAAGTACTTGGGCCATCTTCCGCTGCTTTCCCAGGTGCATCAGTAGGGAGCTGGATCAGAAGTGTGGCTAGTTCCTCCCCTCGCAAAACTCGCGTGAAATGTCATAGCCGGGCTATGAACACTGGATTCAGGCCACGTACAGAACATTTCCTTCACGACAAGGATTCCTCACATATTTTTAAAAAGAAACAGAAAAAAATCTGGATGTTTTTATGCGAAATATCCTACTCTGTAAATATTTGCAATATGAATTTGCTTTTTTTTTTTTTGGTAAAGACTTATTTATTTTTTATTTGAAAGGCAGAGTTACAAAGAGAAAAGGAGAGACAGAGAGATCTTCCGTACACCGGTTCACTCGCCCAGTGAATGCAAAGACTTGGTCTCCCATGTGGATGCAGGGGCCCGAGTACTTAGGCCATCCTCTGCTGCCTTCCCAGACACATTAGCAAGGAGCTGGATCAGAAGCAGAGTGTCGCTCCCCCTCTTCGTGGAGGAACGACACTAAACCCTGCCTAGGCTTCATATCCGAGTCACGGCACCATTATGTCGCTCCCCCTCTTCGCGGAGGAGCAACACTGAACCCTGCGCTGTTCTTTCGTCTGCTCGGCCCTCCCCGGGTTTGCTGCTGGTTCTTCCCGGGTTGGCTACTATCCCTTCCACCTCCGTGGAAGGGCGGTTCCCCCTGGCCGCTTTCCCCACTTCCGCAGGGGAGCGGCACACCGCCGGCCGGCTCTCTCGGGGGCTGCACAGGTGTTATTCAGATAGATGTTCCCCTTAGATGTTCCTGGTGCATGCCGGCTCTCTCCTCCTTTATAGTCCTCCTCCGCCAATCCCAACTCGGCTGCCCACACGCCGAGTACGCTGCTCTCCTCCAATCAGGAGCAGGTCCTGCTGTTTATTGGCTGAACTGGAGGCAGCTGGGTAGAAGCTGTTTTCTCCTCTCCCAGCGCCTTATTGTGGGAGAGCAGATGCATAGAATAAGTCTTAATTCCAGTAACTCAGTCCAGTCCAGGCTGCTCCCCACACAGAGCAGCTGGGATTTGAACTGGCGCTCCGATATGGGATGCTGGCATGGCAGGCAGCAGCTTAACCTGCTCAGCCACACGCCAGCCCCTAGTTCACATGTTAGTAAAACTCCATGAGTGCTGGGTTCACCCAGAGTTCTACACCAAGCAGATGGTGGGGAAAAAAACAGGGCTTTGGGCTAAGGACGTATGGGGAGGGGACACATGGGTGGCTTCTGGGGTCTTGAACTGCGACTTGTTGATCTTGGTGCTTATTCTATAGATGTTACATAGTATTATATAGATAAGCTCATGTGAAAGTGCGTCAGGTTGTGCACTTATAATTTGCACACCTTTCTTAGGCATGTGAGAAAGAAATTGACAGGTGGGGGGGGGACGCTGGATCGTTGGTAGGAAGGTAGACGCTAGCCTATGGGTGTGAGAGGGGCTGAGGAAGCGGAATTTCCTGCAGCTGAATGTGGGAAGAAACAGAGAAGCAAGCCTCAGAAGCAGCCCAGCATTTGCTCTTCAAGTCTTGCCCAAATCGGCCAATTATCAGGAGGGTCCCAACCCTCCCCCAGGGCAGCCTGGGGGACCCTTCCCTAACACTGTGCTGATAAAGCCCCTGAGGAACTTCACCAATCCCTCGCCCAGAAACCCCTCCACCCAGCCGTGTCCAGGAAGGGGAGGGACTAGGAGAAGCAGTGGCCAGACGCTGTCACGCTGCTGCAGTCTGCATGCCGCCTGGGCTTTGGTTCCTTGCTGAGGTGCCCGCCTGGCCTCCTAAGCCCTCTGCCTCGCTCACGGCTACTCTGTCTCACGTCTCGCATGAAGGCAAGGGCCTCTGATCCGGCCACCTCTGGTAACAGTCTCCACGCAGACAACTTTACAGTTCCCCAGTCCTGCGGGAGACCTGGATGGAGTTTCAGGCTCCCGGCTTCAGCCTGGCCCAGCCCCTCCCAGCCCCAGGTGCTGTGTCCATTTGGGAGTGAACCAGCAAATGGAAGATCTCTTTTTCTTTCACTCTGCCTTTCAAATAAATAAAATAAACCTTTTTTTAAAAAAGGGTATATTTTATCTTTACAAGGAAAAATTCATGAGAGAGAATGTACTTTAGTAACAGAATCCCTGAAAGAAGTTTGATGTGCTAAGATCATTCTTATTTTCATATTTAAATGCTTCTTTCTAAATACTTTGATATCTAAATGTGTCTTCCCTTTAATTCTCCTTTTCCTCTGCTTTCCACGATTCATACCTTTCTTTTCTCTGAGGGTGGGGTGTGGATGACCCTATAATGTGTGCAGACTGGGACACTGTTGAGAGTGCAAGAGTCCTGGTGGACATTTACACTCAAAAAACACGTGTGAGCCAGGACTGCCCTGGCCCGCGAGGATGCAGGGTCACCCTCTCTTATGACGGTTCTAAAGCCATGAGCCGGGACCAGGCGACTTCCCAGGCCCCTTGCAGCCCTGTAGGTTCTGAGAGGCCTTGTTCTGACTTACAAAGCTTCACAGACCAGAAACTCCGGATGCCACAGGTCTCATGACCACGGTGCTTCCTCGTGGATTCGCTGAAAGCGGCAGAGCAGGGAGGCTGCCCCCACCCCGCCCCGCACTCCCCCCACTTCCCGCTGAGGCCCCGTGCCTGCAGGGGGGGAAGCAGATCTGACTCCTCAGAAGCCTTCCGGCGGAGCGGGCACACAGGAGCTGGTCCAGGCAAAAGGTGAATCAGCAAGAGTGAAAGCCCGCCCACCTGGCTCGGTGGGGGGCCCGCCCCCGGCTTCGCCGTGCGGAGGACTCTGGGAAAAGCCTGGGGCGCTGCTCCGTTTTTCCCAATTGCTCCAGCGTTGTAGGCGTCTGCTGGGACCAGGAGGAAAAGAGGCTTTCGAAGACCCAGCAAGATAGGAACGTTTAAGGTCGCCACCTTCGGGCGGGTGCTGTGCAGCAGACTGCCACCCACCCAGAGTCCTGGCTCCTCCGCTTTCCATCCAGCTCCCTGGCTAACACTGCTGGGAGGCAGCCCAGAGCACTCGAGTTCTCCTCCTCCATGTGGGAGACCCAGGTGGAGTCCTGGCTTCTGTCTCAGGCTGGCCCCCCAGCACGACCAGTGAATGGAACATCTCTCTTTCTCTCTTTCAAATAAGTAAATAAATAAATCGTTAAAAAATAAAATCATCACCTTAGGTGCAAACTTTTATTCTAACAACGCTGATATTATTCCAAACACTTTCAAAATAACACTTTTGGAGCTGCCTTACCTGTCTGCCCGGGCCCTGGCCGGAGCCCCTTCAGGACAGGCTCTGCATCTTACCTGTCCCTCCCTTGCACTGGAGACTGCTAGCTCCTTGTCGCACCCGGCAGACACTTGGCTTGAGTGAAGTCGGGTTTACCGAAGCCTGCTCCTTGTACACTGCAGGGCCACCAGGCAGTGTGGAGCGCCCTCTGGTGGAGCTTAAAGAAGCGACAAGGATGGAGATCTGAAGTTCAATCCCACCTTTAACTTGTTTACCTTTGTGTCTCCAAAGTAAGATGTCTGCTTCCAACAATAGTTCCCACCTTCCGCTATTTCCAGCCTTGAGCAAGCATGAAAAGAGGGGAACAGATGCAATATAGGTTTGACTTAAACACTCACATATAATATGTCAACGTTAAACTAATTGAGGTGGACGTATGGCTGGGTGGTTAAGATATGTGTTGAGCTGCAACAGGCCACTCCCTGGGTTCATTCCCGCCCTGGATCCTGACTCCAGCTTCCTGCGAACGCAGACCCTGGGTTCCTGCCACTATGTGGGAGAGCTGGATTGAGTTCCTGGCTCCAGGCTTCAAGCCCACCCAGTCCAAGCAATTGTGGGTGTTTCAGAAGTGAACCACCAGATAGGAGCTCTCTCACTCTCTCTCTCAGATAAAGAAATAAAAGATTTAAAAATAAGGGCCGGCACCATGGCGCAGTAGGTTAATCCTCTGCCTGTGGCGCTGGCATCCCATGCGGGCACTGGTTCTAGTCCCGACCTCTCCTCTTCCAATCCAGCTCTCTGCTTGGGAAAGCAGTATAAGATGGCCTGAATGCTTGGGCCCCTGTACCCACGTGGGAGACTGGGAAGAGACACCTGGCTCCTGGCTTCAGATCTGCGTGGCTCCGGCCGTTGTGGCCATTTGGGGAGTGAACCAATGGAAGGAAGACCTTTCTCTCTGTCTTTCCCTCTCACTGTCTGTAACTCTACCTCTCAAATAAATAAATACAATATTTTTTAAAAATTTAAA